CGACGTATGTAAACCTCGCAATCGCGTCTAGCAGAATGCTAACTTGTCCAGCCACGCGACGGTCAAGATGTAGAGTCATTCGAGGCTCAGTGGCAGAGCGCTGTCGAGAGCTTCTTGATGGACAATGACGTCGCAACGCTGCAGTGCCTTGTCCTTGCCCAGATCTTCTGCCTGCTGAGGGCTGATTACTCGCGGGTGCTCAAGTACAAGGGCTTGGCCGTCGGCCTGTCGCAACGTCTTGGCTTACATCAATCCCAGAAGCGCTTCGCACTCGATGCACTGACGAGCGAAACGCGCAAGAAGCTGTTCTGGTCGCTGTACACAGTCGACTGGTAAGTAGCCTTCGGCCGAACCCCGCCGTTACACTTACTGACCGCTCCTAGTCTCTCCGCTGCACACCTCGGACTACCGAAGCTGATCCGAGAGGAAGATGTGCACTGCGAGTATCCGGTAGATGCCGATGACGAATACGTCACCGAGAAGGGGTTCCTGCCGACCCTGCCCGGCGAGTACACCAAACTTTCCAGCGCACTGGCTCTCTTCCGCCTGTCGCGCATCCTGTCCAAGGTGCTGACGGAGCTCTACCCCGGATCGGCATCACATGATATCTCGTTCCGCACCATTGCGTCGCTCTCCGACGAGCTGGAGGATTGGCAGACTAACCTTGCGCCTCACCTCAAGCTGACGTTTGCGCAAGACAAGCCAAGCACCAACGTCACCAGCAGCAGATCACCTGTTTTGGTATGTCTCTTAATTCCTGCTGCATCTACCGAATGCTGACAAGCCTAGTCTCTCGTCTACCACCACATTAGGGCGCTTGTATACCGCCCAGCCGTTGTTGCTAATCTTGGCGACAAGGGCTCGTCGGCCGTTGTAGCCGTTGGCGATGCCTGCAAGCACATTGTGCAGATTGTCGAGCTCCTAGACGAGCGTAAGCTTAGCTTCTCGTTCTGCCTCAATCGCAATGAGGTTCTCGTCCAAGCCGGCTTCGGCCTGCTCTTCCAGACCCTGACGCTAGCTCGCGAGGGCAAGTTGATCAAGGACAGCAACCGTTTGGTATGTTCGGTCATGGACATGCTCGAGCGTGGAAATGCTGCTGGCTATGCCGAGTTCCGTCGCGTGGGCTGCGGCATCGTGGCTGTTCCTCAGGTGGAGCAAATGCCAGCCCCGCCTCTGTCGCGACACAACTCGGAGGGCCACATGGGAGCGCCTCTGGATACCTTCCGTGCTACCCAAAAGTCGCTCAAGGCTCTTGCAGCTCGCTTCTCACCAAGCATGATGAAGAATGCCCGACAAGACCAAGAGCCACGTCGCGCGACATTGCCTGCTCTCTCGCCCAGCGTGGGTGCGCATGCTAATCCTTCGCTGACAAGCTTGTCGTCCAGTCGATCAGAGCCTCCTGTCGCTCGTTCAGAACCGACCTTGAGCCCGCTGTCGCATCGTGCATCCTTTTCGATGCCAAACAAGCGTCGCCCAAGTCAGCCAACACCCCAGCACCAGCAACAACAACAACAGCAGCAGCAGCAGCAACGCAACATCGACTACCTCTCCTTCGCCAACGACCCACTCGCCAGCTACGCCCTCCAAAACAACCAAGGCATCAAAACCGAAGTCTCAACCTCCGACTGGGAGCGCCTCCTCTCCTCGCTAGACAACGGCCAAACAAACATTTACGACACCATCTACGGCGGCCCTCCAGCCGACGCCCTCGTCGACGTAGCACCTCAATCCGCCAACACAGACAACAGCAACGTGACATGGTCGCCAAATGTCTGGAACTGGAGCGCCTACAGCTCCGAAGCCCCACCACCTCAAAGCGTACTCAGCTTCAGCGATGAGAGCTTGACTAGTGGCGAGGAATTCAGCACCGGGGCTTGTGATTATGGGTCTACGCCTGGTAGCGATAGATTGTATCCTGGTATCATGATTCCGGGTGACTACGATAGCACGACGGGTTTGACGGGCTTGGATGCTACTTACTGTGGGTTGTAAACGGGGTGGTAGTGTTGATGATATCACGATGATTATGATGGGTTGTACAAACGGAGATTGGGTGTCTGGCGCATAGGGTTGAGGGTCCCTCACCTGTTGACGACACGGGTCTGGTTGAGCTTTTGCTGCTTTTGAGATACCACGCTTCTGGCCTGAGCGAAAGAGAGTCACGATGGGAATTGGATGGAGGGACGAGCTACTTTCTTTGTTCCCATGGAAATCTTCGTACATAGTCTTCTTGGTTAATTTAATTCAACATTTTCGACTTACCTCGCATCATAGATTCGTTAATCTACTCTCGTCCAGTCTTCTATACCGCCGTGAGCCTCTAATCTCGTCCTTCGTACATCACCGTCTCCCCAAACCTCCGGTCATCGGCAAATCCCGCCGGATGAAAGGATGTTATACCTCTCCCCTCGCGTGCGTCTCCAGCCACACACCCTCCCACTACCACGACACACAACCCTTACCTACCACGCCTACACACCCCGCACCCCAGCTAGCCCACTGCGCGACCCACATGGTTCGCACGTGGAGAAATATGCGGGGGGCTTGTCAGCCTCAGCCCATTCCAGCGTCAGCTTTCCACCTTGCCCTTGCCTGGGGAGTAAGTGGGGATCGCGATGCAAGGGTTTCGCGATCGGAGGCATACTGCGTAATGGGTGTTGCTTGAGAACGGACGCCCGTTTCACGCCAATAAACGCCATGGTGTGGTGAGATTGTGGGAATCCCAGTCGCTGTAGATGGTGTGGCGTAGCGCTAAGTATATATGGGTTGAGTATACGGAGTGTCATAGAGCGCCGCATGCGTTCAGCTCGTGGCAATTGTTTCTGCCCATGAAATGAAATAGAGAAGAATCTCATCGAGACATCACGATGCACAGCGTCATGATCGACGGGAAGGTACTTGGCTGGCTTTCCCGATCGGAGTCTACGCACACGTCACACATCGCGATCTGTTCCCCATGATGTACATATTCTACATTCTTATTGAGGGGTTGGAGCTAATCGGGGTATTGTAGCCAATCACAAAAAGAGACTGAGAAAGTTTCCGTCACTTGCTTCTGACAGGTCCGACAGGCTTGATCCTTATTCCTGATTGATGTTGGTGATGGGTCGGCCCTTTGGAGCAGGTAGCGCGTGGGCGTTGGAAATGCGGGGTGGGTAGACGCGATCACACCATGTTGTTGCAAGTGCAGGGACTGGGATGCCAATCATCGTTGCGAACGTGGTTATGGCGTACAGCTGGTGTTGAGGGGTATCGTGTGGTCGGGAGAATTCGGAGAGGTGGTATGCGTCGTCGCTGGGCGAACGTTCGAGAACTGTGCCAACATCTCGGTATCCGCTGAGCTGTCGACATCCAGTCTCTTCGTTCGTCCCTTGACATTCCCTTGTCGCGATGCATGCAAGCATATCCGAAGACACATTGCTCCACATAGCTCCGACATCGCCAATCTAGCGCAGGAACTCGGCGTTGAGGTAGTCGACAAAGACCTCCTTTATGCGTGCTTTGGAAAAGCTGTGTTGACGATTCAGGGTGATGAACTGGCGGCGGATACGTTGGAGTTGCGGGAGGGTCATTGGCGTCGCAGGGAGCTCGATGGGCTTCTCGACATCAGCCACGGCTATCTCTCCACCACCTTCGCCAGGGTGGTCTTTCTGGTACACCATTATCTGGGCGAGGATATCGGAGGTCGTCTTGTCGAGCTCGTAGAGGTAGTTCTGCTCTGTCGCTGGTTTCTACTCTGTGTTAGAGGCGTCTCAACACATTAGAAGAACTGGAGTACGCACCAGCACGGTCGCGAGGTTCGGCTTGACAGTCTTCATCTTGCCATCGCTGCTGACTATGGTGTCCCATATCTGGTCGCACGGCGGCTTCTCATCCTCCTCGACGACGATGAACAGCGGACTGTCCCATCGCGTCATGCCATTGGGCTCCTCGTACCGGAAGATGAGGTTCTCAAAGTCGTCCTCTTCGTATCCGCCATCGACATCTTTATCCGCCAAGAGCTTCTTGTTGTTCTCGCGACATCGTTCGGCGGGCGTGCCTATGTGCAGCTCTAGGACTGTCAGTCGTGCATCCCATCTGCGCACACGGTATACTGACAACGCAGCTTGGAGTCTGCAGAGCCTTGGCTTCGCAGTACAACTGGTAGCGGAAGCCCTTGATGTAGTTTAAGCCATCGGCGATAACGATGTCATCGCGCGACAAGACTCTTTTGACGGCGGAATATTCTTCCGCACGTGCATCCTTCTCGGCTTTGGCGGTATGGTAGACGGCGCGCGACACGCCCAGCGACTGGTCGTTGATGAGATGGACTTTTAGGCGGGAAGTGCGCGCATCAGGAGGCGAACTGGCGATCTTGGCCTCGAAGTAGTCTTTTAGCTGGAGGGCTCTGGTGGTCTTGCCCGCGGAAGGGAAGCCTTCGGGGGTGGGTTAGCTCGATGGCGGGGGAAAAGCATGGAGGGGAAGGTGGAACCTGAAATTAAAACGAGCTGCCCTGGTCAGTAGGCGAGTCTGGGGAAGGTTCAACGAGGACTTACGGGCATGATGCGAGTAGGGCGAGCAATGCTTTGCCTGCAAGAGGTAATCCGCGTAAAACTAAAGGAACCTGGCGTCTCGATGCGATGGCAAGCGTCGGCAGATCAGATTGGCCTGTGACGAAATTCACGAGCTAGCAGTCTGAGCCGCGGTCCAAGTAAAGCCATGGATTGTGCTGCCTATCTTGCAGGCGATTCCACCTTCCTTTTGCCTGTATCCTGCTTTGCCTCACCTTGTCCCGACTTCAGCCTTTATTGCACACGTCTAGACGAATTCGCTGGGATTGTTCCGGGTGACGCGCAGAAGATCGCCAATACAGGGTAATATCGAGCTACCACGGGTCCATATTTACTTTACCCATACCCTCGCCTCACCACCTTGTACACCCTTTCCACTCCTCTGCTCTCCTCGCCTTTATCGAAGACTTCGAAGACTCCACCACGACCCTACCAGCCATTCCCGCAGCCATGTCCAACTACTCGCAACAACACTACGGCGCCCCCAGCCGACCCGCCTTCTCTGCTCTCCAGTCCTCCAGCACCCCAGCCGCAAGCTACACCAGCACCTCCGCCTCAAGCCACGCCTCCTCACGCTCTTCGACGCAATCTGCTCCGCCCGTCTCGCCGTCGACAAGCCCCCAGAACCACCAGTACTTTGGCTCCCTGAACCAGCAGTCGCAACAGTTGCAGCAGCAGCCTCGCATGCAGGCCCAACGGCAGAACAGCTTCGAGTACCAACCGAACAGGTCAGGAGCCGGCCAGACGGCTGCTGAGACGACAAACTACCTCAACCAGGCTGCGCTGCTTGCTGAGGCTGCGAAACGGGCACAGATGGCCTGTGTGATGCGAGATCTCGACGGAATGGAACTATAATTTCCATACGACTTGGCTACAGATCCGTCGTAACACGACAAACACCACCGCGACAAGACCATGCACACCGCGAAAACATTCTGCCGGTCAAAGTCGGCCGTGAGCGGTCTACTTTACATGTGCATGCTTCCAACGGAGTGGGTCCGTCCATCAAAGTCTTCAAACTTCGCGAGGTTATCACTCCACCATTCTCACCGGAAACATTCTTCGCCATACCTTTCGCTTGAGCCTGCGGTGAAGAACGTACCGGTGCTGCGTTTACCGACTATACTGCCCGATATTCTTACCGCGGCTACTTCATTTCGATTGTACATACTTCTCCACTATCGGACCGACTAGGCTGTTCTGTCCACTTTGCACCTTTTCTTACTACGGAGCTCGTATCTTGACAGTTGTTCTTTGAGTAATCAGGCACGTTGGGGAATCCACTGTATTTTGTATTGTCGAAATGCAGTAGATGTCTTTGATGCCGTTGCCTAGGCACATCTTGGAGAAACCGAGCTCCCCCATACATCATCTATCTCATAGCTTGGAGTTCCACGGCGAAACAAACATCACACCGTCACTTTTTTTCATCATTTCTTTTTCCCCTTTCACATGTCGCGATCCTCGAGTCTAGACTTAATAGCAAACGAGCGCTTTGGGCATTGGCAGCATTTCTTTTTAGATGGACTACGCATGTGGATGCGGCATATTATATAGACCAATCAAGACACTTTGTCCAAAACCATTTGCGTTATTGATTGTCAGACTTCGCTTCTGCTATGCTCACGCGTGAAGGAACGTCGCGTTGCCCATTAGTTCGCGTGTGGACAGAACTACTTGAGTGAACACCGAGCGCGTCTGGTTGGTCATGTCGACCATCGTATAGCATCTAAACACCACATCAAAGTAACAAATTCAAGCAAAGATATGAGCATTGAGATGATAAATACAAGGACGAACAACAGACTTTTAAATACTAAGCAACGATGGCGTGCTCGCAACCCTTATCTCCTCCACGCAGCCTCGTGCGGGGTCCTTCACCGGAACCACCCCAAACGAGCCCGAGAAGATGAAAGGGCGTGCATATGCACATCCATATAACATGCATCGTATAAGAACGTGCAGCAAGGCAAGAAACCATAATAGAAACCCCGAGTAAACCGATACAAACCTGGTTTGCGCACCATTTGCCTACTGTGAGGCTCAACACCTCTGTACCGCATTGGGGATTTCCCTCCCTCGTTCGTCGCCTCACTTACTGACTGAATTCCTCATTGCCAATTGCAAAAGAGCACGGCAACCCGCTCCCCAACCACTCACTGACACGTGCCTCGCCTACAGCGCCCCTTTGAATCATCCGACCAATGCCAAACCAACGGGTCAACACACTTCTTTGGCGTCACCACCTCATCGCCCATCTTACTATCGCAGCGTGCCAGCGACGATGGCCGCAGTGCTAGTGACGATGAGCTTGATGCTGAGGGTGTCGGCCCTGTAGCCGTGAGCGGACGGCAGAAATTAATGACCACGATGCTGCCTGATGTGTTGTCTTCGCTGGAGCCGTAAGAGCGCCCTGGTTTGATCATAAAGACGAGGCGTTGGGAGTCGAGGACGCCGGTTACGCTGCGTGTGGTGGAGGATGATGTGTTAGTGGTGGGGAGTGTTGGGTTGAGTATGTTGTGCAGACGGGCTGAGCAGGGACAACGTGATGAGGGAGGGGGCCACATGCGGACTGGCGACTGGCGGTATAGTGTTTGCGTATCCACGAAGGAGGGCTTGGTGTCGTCGATGGGGGCTTTTCCTTTGCTGTTGCTGGTGCTGTTGTGAGCGGAAGTGAAGGAGAGGCCTAGTTCGCGGCGTGATCCTATCCGCAGTCTGAGGCATGGTGCTTGCGAGGGGTTGTTGCAGCAGCGGTCGTCTTCGACTAGATCGACGAAGGAGGTGCATGGGTAACTATAGGCCCTGAACTTTGTTCGAAAGAGGGTGAAGGAACGGGGTGAAGGATCTGTGGGGGAGAACTCAGGGTGTTGGCTCCAGCTGTAGAGATCGGGTGTTGGTTTCCATTGGGGATTGTTCGATGAATCTATGAGCGGGAGGAAGAGATCATCCTCAGGTCCGAGTAGTTCATCTGATGGTTCATCGGTATCGTCCTCTTCTTGAAAGTCCATCTTAGTAACGTAGAAGGTGCGTGACTGGCGAGAAGATGCTTGAGCCCATTCTCGACGCGACTCCACAATCACCGTCTCGTTTGTACGCTCATCAAGCTGTAGTGCAAGATCGGTCCATGAGTCGTGGATTGGACCTTGCTTGTGCTGTCGACGAAAGAGGCGCTCGTCTTTCTGAACGTCATCTGGTTTGTCCAGTGGGAAACGGACCACATGGTAGAAAGAAGTATAATCGATCTCTTCAACTTCAAAGGTGCCCTGGTTAGAGACAGCATAAAAGTAGTTGTTGTGGATTTCGAATGCGATGGTGGAGCCGATATCAGATCCGTGAAACTTATCAAGCAGTACTGGTCTTTCGCGTTCGGTTATCCGAAAGTCTTCATGGAGTGAGATGCCTTCAATCTCCCATTTGTGATGACCGTCATCGCCGATTCCAGTATGTGTGCCGTAGTATAAATAATGCTCATTATGTCTAACAAAAAGCTTAGAGCATTCGCTTAGTCGCACCGATTCGATCACTCTTTGTCCATCCGCAAGGTTCGCAGCCGTGTTGATGGCGAATATATGGCTGTCATCCGAGTTGTACTTTGGTATAGCATGCACAGAGAGGATCCGATCAGCATAGTAAAGTAAGCGTACGCTGATATTACCAAAAGCTCTGAACTTCGACTCCAAGATAGGCCGAATGATAGCTTGGAGATCGAGACGAATAGCTTCTGTTTGCGAATTGAGATCCGTGACGTGGACCACCCCAGCGTCGAAAATACATATAGTTCCCTGTCGATACAAAAAGTTATTTCCTTGGCCCAGAACGCGAGCTGAGAACGGGTGCGCAGTTGACAAAGCATTTCTTCTGTCATAAATAGCCTGAAAGGCTTGCTTGTAGGTAATCTTCTCTGTTCGGGCTAAAGACGCTTCCTGGGTGTGGGGATAGTTGATCTATAAGCAGCGTCAGCCTTTGGCGTAAGCAGATTGACCGTTTGGCGTCATCTGACCTCGACAGCACGCCTGACAACTGTCCTTTCGTCTAGTACGGCTCTTAAGTGTCGACATGTTTGGCTGAGATGAACAATATCCTCGAGATCCAAATCGAAGGTGATACAGAAGAGTAGATCAAAAGGTAGCCGATCAAGGGAAGTCGTCATAGAACGAGATAGAGATGTATAGAGATAAGGCAAATAGGGCACGCGAGCGAATTTCCATACGAGTGATTGGCTAAGAAGAAGCAAGATCTTGAGATCTCGACAAGAAAAAGGGTTCAAGCTAACGATAGGTGGCGTAAATCAGCTGTGGAGTACCGGTCGCTGGATGTGCAGAGAGCACGGGCTTTGAATGCTCCCACATGCGCAGAGCCGCATGTTACTAGGGCGCAGTTCCTCGCTAGGATATAGTCTAATTCATGTAATAGCGCCAGCAACCTTACGTTTCGCGTAAGCCCTGGTTGCTCTTCCCGTTTGCGGCTCGTCAGGCTGAGAAATCCGAAGCTATGAAGGCCCGATAAATATTGCGCGGGGTCGAATGGGGCCACGATGTGTTACACTCATACCGATGAGGAAGGATCATTTGCCGTGTTGCATGCGTTTGGAATACGAATATGTTGTGTGCCATAAGGGTCGGGCTGATGGGGTTGTGCCAAGTGAGCCGCATAGGTAGAGCTTCGCTTGACGTAAGCGTGCGGCTCTGCGCAAGTATACGGACCCACACAACCTTGCTCTTTCTTGTAGTCTCAGCCTCGGAGGCACCCCGCACAATTGCGAACTAAGAGTCTACCCCTCGGTGCTAGATGACCAGCTGACGGGTCGATGTGCTTTGCAAGGTTGCTTCAACATCGCTGGGAAGTTTCGGCCCCTATCATGCCGTGCGCATCAATGTACGCCTTGAGAAGTGCTCAGCCTTGCCATCGAGCCTTCAAGGATCCAACTGGAGTACTTCAACCGCCAGGCTAATTCTAAAACAGGTCGAGACCACTCCCTACACGTCCAGTGCCGCAATGATGCATGCTGAGGCACAGGCTCGGGCATGTAGACTTGATGCATGTTGATTGCCCTTGGCCCTGCTCGAGCATGATGCAGAAGTATCGGGGAAGCGGGACTATACGAAGCTATCTGCGATTTGTTGGGACCGTTCCACAAGACGTTGTGCGTTATAGCCCGGGAATCCAGGAGACTACCAATGGACCTAACCGATAGTGGGCTACGTAGTACGCCATGGGGCAGAAACTACACGCGATTCCTCATGTGATCGATCCTCGCGATGTATTGTGCCCTTCTAGGTTGGCGCAGAAGAAACTGAAAACCTGATTGCGGGAACCGATGGCGAGGGGACTACTCGAATGAGGTTTGAGTGGCCGTCCTTGCAGCTAGTTGGGCCCCATACCGACGAAGGGATGTGTGCCTCGTTGTTTCGACCGCGTCCAAACGGTGCTGGGAAATCGCGTCAGTCCATAGAGATTGTTGCACCTCTCGAAATTGTATGGCTTCACCAGCTCTTAGAGCGCCCGACTAATGGGCTCCGAACCTCGTGGCACGTAGCAACGTGTACAGCCGCGCATGACTGATCGTCGCGATTGCTCATGTGCTTCGTCGCATCGAGCTAGGCAATCAATCGGCCCATCGAAACGGAAGTGGAATAGTGAAGCGACGCAGCGGGGTCCAGTCTGTAGGCGTGGATGTTCGTCCTCCAGAGCAACTGGATCACAATAACTCAGAGATAAGCCACGAGCACTCATCACTGCTCTGGGCCAGCGCGTTGGCGTTCTTGACCTTCCCATCCGATGTATGGCCAGCCTTTTGGTAGACTCGAGTAGGGCGGCAAAGTATAGCGGCCTTTACAGCTTCCCGCATCCGGACATTCCAAATCGCACAAGCCGAAAGTCTTGCAGTAGCACTCTTTCGCGGTTGGGCAATGGACCGGAGGTTTACCGAAAATCACTATCAGTCATGTTAGCACATGATCCACGCCACTTGAAGAAGCAAAAAGCGCGCAGAGCCTCATCACGCGCGGGGTCGTGAGGTAGGGCGCGAAATGCCAGCGGATGTCGACTTACTGTGCCAGGAGTACTCAAACACCCTCCCACTGATAGCATCCCCCAGTTCAGTTCCCATAATCCAATCGCGGTACTTCTCATACTGCTCCTTGCTCCTCTCCCTAATCTTGTCCCTCGTTGCCGCAAACTGCGCACAGCAGCTCACACCAACAGCATCCGGCACCTTCTCACCCGGAAACAGGCTCTCAAAGGCCTTCTTATACTGTCCGCCCGCATGTACGGCCTCTCTGTGTTCGCCCGCTTCCGCCAGCGGCTTGATCTCGTTGGGGCAGCCGAGGGACCAGGCGCAGCGGATGTTGACGTAGCCCTCTTTCTCGAGGTAGGGCAGCTGGAAGTGGCGCAGCATGGGGAGGCCGTCGTAGTCGGGGTCGTCGTTGTGCCATTGGTAGCGGTTGGGGTGGATGAAGAGGACGTTGTCGGGGAGGGACGCGTAGTGGTCGATTATGTAGCTGCACGCGTATTCGTCGTTAGCATGCTGGACATGGGACGAAAGATAGTATAGATGGGGACGTACGTCAGATAGACCATGCTCTCTCGGCCCTTGTTCTTCGGCACCGTGAGCTCCGCGCTCGGATCGTCGACATGGTAGATATTCTTCTCCCAGTGCGGAAAGTACTCCTCGAGCCACGTTGCGTTCTCGGAACTCTGGCTGGCGACCACAAAGGCGGTCCGACGCGCTTTGATGCCATCGTTTGCTTTTAGCGGCTTCCCTTTCGGGTTGTGCGATGACTCGTCTGGCTGCTGCTCGTCGTAGAGTTCGTCGGGAAGGTGCGACTTGGCCGATCCAGCTGAGGCCGCCGTCTTGTCCCAGAGCGCGAACTTCAGATGGACGAAGAGGGCGGTGAGCAGGACGATATTGACGAGTATGACCACATTGCGAGCAGTGATTAGACGAGGCATGGCGCCACAAAACAAAGTGCCCACGATGTTTGCACGACGGTTTCCAGGAACCTGGGGCATCGGATATCACATGCGAACACCAGGGGCTGATCGGCGCTAGCCGATTCAAGCTCCCATTAGCGTGGTAGCGTAGAAGAAGCCAAGAATACGAAGGATGATCACAACTCTTTTCTATTCTCTACGGCATTCTATACTCGAAATCGTTCTACACACTGTGTACTATCCGCTCCGCCAACGCCGCAATACTCGTGCGCGAATCCAATAGATCCACCATGCCAACCTTGTACCCCAGCGCAACGTGGAACCAATTTCGTAACTCGGCTGCAATCAAACTATCGACGCCATGGTCCGACACAGCACGCGCGCAATTCACAGTCGTTGGATCAAGCAAGAGCATAGTCGCAACCGCGTTGGATATGGCTGATGTGACGAGTGCGAGGGTTTCCGCGTGGCACGCGAGTTGATCTGAGCCAGGGGCAGCGTTGCGAGCCTTTTGCACAGCAGCACCGAATGCGTCGCGGACCTGCGCTGTGGATGAGCGTGCAGTGTCCTTCTGTGGAGAGTCGGCACCGCCCTCTTCCTGGCGCAAAGCATCTTCGAATGCACGGATCACATGGGAAACGCGAGCGTCGCCATGCCAGCGAGGTGTTGCGACGCTTCGGATACCCATCTCAGCGTCGTCGCGCTCTTTTGCGAGCATGTGTGCCGGATCCATGTATGTTACGTAGGTAGCGGCGGCGAGGGGGTCAGCGGCAGTTACATTGGAAGGGGGAAGAAACGCTGGCTCGAGAAGGCGGAGGAAGTAGCTTTCAGATTCAGTCAGGACTTTGTTGCGTGCCATCAAATCCAATGTGGTGGTGTCGGTGCTTAGGTGGCCAACGTCGTTGACAAGGCCGAATTGAGCAGCCGTAGCAGGCAGACCCAGACGGCGGCGATAGCGTGCGAACTGGTCCTGGAAGTTGTTGGCGGCCGTGTACGCAGCCTGAGTCGCGAAGCTCAGAACCGAGAGGATGGAAGTGGTCATGACGAAGAATTCCAACGGCAAGTGTTTGGTGGTGTCGTGTAGATTCCGCGTGCCAAGTACTTTCGCGGCGAGGCCATCCTGCCAGCCAGGGGCTGTCACCTTGTCGAAAGAGATATCTTGGTAGGAAACGGCGCAGTGGACGATGCCCTTGAGTTCGCCAATGGTGGATGCGTACTCAACGGCTTTTGCGACACTCTCTCGAATACCGAGATCGCAAGCAACGGGATGTACACGAATACCAGATTCGGCGAGCCTGTCCACAAGTGTCTGCGCTTCGGGCGCGCTCCCACCACGGCGGGACAAGATAACGAGCTCTCGTGCACCACGATCACCCATCCACTGGATAATAGACCGTCCCAGACCGCTCAGTCCACCAGTGATGATGTAGCAGGCTGCTGGGTCGAAGGTGACGGCTGGTGGTGCCTGTACCATGCGTATCAGTGAGTTTGACGCGAATGACACAACTAGCTTGCCAACATGTTTGCCTTTGGAGAAAGCCAGCAACGTCTGGTGGAGTTGGGAGATGTCCGAGATAGCCAGAGGTTGGATGGGACTGATGCGCCCAGCACGGTAGTGAGCGTCCACCGCGGTCATAAGCTCGGCACCTAGTTTAGGGTCGCGATCTACGACACGGGCAAGATCGAAAGATGAGAAGCTGGCGCTCTTCTGAAACAGCTCAAGGCCGATTGCACGGGCATCCTCGACGTCTGCGCGGCCAATGTCGATTAGATGGCCGAGTGGAGCGAGTGCTTTGGCTGTCTCATGAAGCATATCACCCTGAGCAGTGCTGAGAATGACATCGAAGCCCCCGTTGCGCGTGGCAGCCGCAGCACGATTCATTTCGGCCTTTTCACGTGCCGAAAACACATTCGCAGGGGGTAGGCCAATCGTCTTTACAAGGAATTGCAGCTTTTCTTGCGAACCAGCCATAGCAAAAACTTGGGCGCCCTTGGCACGGGCGAATTGGATGGCAGCCAGGCCGACACCGCCTGAGGCTGACTGAATCAAGACACTCTGGCCCTGATGCAGACGGGTAAGGTGTTCGAATGCGTAGACTGCCGTCATGTAGACAACAGGCATGGTGGCCATGTGAACAAGATCATCGGTGGGTCTTACTTTGCAAGCGAAAGCTGAAGGTACGCGAGCATAGTTGCCGAAATGGCCTTTCCCTAGGCCGTAGACTGGGTCTCCGACCGCGAAAGAGCTTGCAGCATCAGTCCCGACCTGAGTGACGATACCAGCGTACTCAGATGACAAGTTATTGCCGTCGAAGCGGCCAGTAGCCAAGACTAGATCCTTCCAGTTGAGACCGACGGCAGTAACCTTAACCTCAATGTAGTCACATGACAGGGATTGTTTGCGCAGCTCTGTGTAGGGACGGAAGTACAAGGAGCTGAGGATACCCGGTGTTTCAAAGGCAGCGCGGACAGGGCCTTGTGTATCCAGTGGTAGAAGCTCAGCGCCATGAGTAGCTGGTGTAACGAGAGGCTCCGCATAAGCAGACAACGCAGGCTCGGGCAGCAGGCGACTCACCCACAGGCAGCCGCCATGCCAGGCAAATTCGCGGTCTTCGCTCGTCTCGCTATTAATGGGTCGCTGCAAGGCTTGCTCGCAGTCGACCAGGACGCGAAGGAGTTCGTCACTTTGCTGCAGATCGTCCAGAATAAAGTGGTCGGCGTCTATATCGACTGAGCAGAAGCGGCCTGTGGGTGCCTCAGTTGAGATGGTGCGTAGTAGACCGCCAGCAATAGCGCCGTCAGGACTACGGCCGACTGCCATGCCTGTCGAGGTGAGCCATAGCATGCTACTGGTATGATGAGTAAGGTGCTGGAAGAGCTCCAGCTGGCGCTCATCGGCAGCGAGCAATAGATGGTCATCATCCAGGAAAGCCACTACACGAGCGTCGACAGGCAATTCGCGGACCGAGCTGTCAAGTCGTACCGTCTTCGTCGATTCTCCGCGACATTCCAGCACACGGGCTAGTTGAGCGAGCAGAGGCGGTGGTTGTGCTGTGCTATGAAGAAAATGCACAGGCTGAATAGCCACACGCGCCGCATCCACAGCTTTTTCAGCCATATCGACCACGCCGGCCACGACAACACTCGACTGGGTCCAAGGCGCGGGATAGTCGTCCAGCACGATTTCGGCTCCTCTAAACCCGACCGAACGCAGCGTCGCGTCCCAGCCGGCCACATCGAGAAAAGGCCGCTGCATGCGTCCGTCATTCACACCGTGCCAGTATCCTTCTTGTGCACCGCCGATCATGTCGACCCACGCACTGCTGCCCGTCACTTCGGCCAGCACCAATTTTCCGCCAGTTTTGAGTAGCTTGCGCGCCGTCTGCAACGCTTTTGCAACCGATGCAGCCGTGTGCACGGCCTGCGACGCAAACACCACATCGTACGCCGCCTCGAAGCCCGCTGGCAGCGTGTCTTGTTCCATGTCCAGCACTGAAAAGTGCACATCGCCGTAATTGCTGAGCTGCGATCGCGCCGCCTGCAGCGCATTTTCGCTCGTATTTGTTACTGTGTAGTCGCGGTATCGCTTGATACTGTTCCCACTGTTGAGCGTCTCGAGCACTAAGCGCGCCGTCTGACCCTTCCCGCCCTTGAGTTCCAATATCCGAAGGCTCGGATTGACATGAGCCATTGAGTCGAAAACAGTAGATAAGTGAGTGTGAACCCCCGTTACGAACAGGCTCTTCTCAAAAAAGTCAGTCAGCAGCCCGCCTTCAGCCAGGACCGCTTCGCCACTTCTGCGCCTGTCCATGATATCAACCATGTGTGCGTGAAGCCGCTGCATACACCTGACTTCGACAAGATGACCGTGGCCTTCATATGCCTCTCGCAGACGTCGCTTGCGATCCTCCGCCGAGAGTTCTGTTGACTGCTCAGCTTGACCTCTCTTGGCCAACTGTCGAAGCTTTGCGATATAGCGTTCCGTTGTTCCCAAACCATCGATTTCCATTGAGTCAGTGTCATTCAAGAGCGTCTCAGTCACGTCGATGGCGATGAGCGACGCCATACTATCGAGCTGAGCAAGCACTGGTCCTTGAGCGACATTCTCCGACGGTGCTGGGAATAGTAAACGAGCCTGCTCATTACGGAGACTTCCGAAATCTGGCTTGTACACCATACGTGTGAACGGGCTCGAAAAGCCCCTGGCTCCGGTCTTGTCTGGAGACGTTGCCTCTAAGCTGTAACTAACGCAACGGAGGTCCTCAATGTCCACAAGGATATCGCCCGCCTCATCCTGAAGCTGTAGCTGGAGGTACGCAGATCGAAGGCCCTTGAACTCGCCGTATGCGACCGCTGTACCCGATGCTTGGTCAATATTACTCTTGACACGCAGCTCAGACAAGTGAATGGGAACGAATGCTGTCGTCGTTTTGTCCGTTTGGCCTCCATGGGATGCGAGGAGGCCAAGTTGGATCATGGCATCTAATGAGGCGGGATGGATAGCATATTCAGATTCTCCACCTCTAATCATGCCCGCCGTAGTCTGTAGATTGAGTCTGGCAGCGGCATGATTCTTGGTCGGGTCGGCGCGTATCTCAGACAAGGCTTGGAACGCAGGGCCGTAGCCAAGACCTATCGCAGCGAACTTCTTGTACCAGCTGCGCGCATTCACCGTTCGAGATTCGGAAGCTACACTCATCGTTTCAACTTGCGAGTGCTCAGAGATGTCCACCTTGACCATTCCGGTGCAGTGTTCCGTCCATTGCTCCGTTTCACGTGTAACGGAGCTGACTGAGAAACCGACCCAAGCCGGCTCTTGTGCAGTAGCTTTGTCGTCAAGCACCAGGCTGAGCATGATCTCGATACCATACTGATCCTCAGGGATGTTCAGTGCTGACTTGATATTGACGTTGCGAAGTGAGTGCCCTAGAATTGGCTGTGCGTCCTCGGTTGCCTGGTAGAGCTGCGTTGCCGCCACCATTGCCATACACATATATCCAGCAGCCGGGAATACAACA